CACACAGGGCCATGTAGGTTTGGATTTTTTTTCCCTTAATAATAAAAACCTTCATTTAAAAACTGCATTTTGTGTTTACTTGTGTTATCTTCAATTTGTTTGATGATCTGAAACATTTCAGTGTGACAAACATGCAAAAAAATAAAAAATCAGGAAGGGGGCAAACACTTTTTCACACCACTGTATATAATTATCGTATATATATAATAATATATACTGTAACTTCCTTTGTGACTCAAATGAAAGGTCCAGTCACCTGAAAAATCCGGTCCGAATTCTGAGGCAGAGCGGCTGGTGAGTAGGTGGGGTCCATTTCGGTGAACTCCTCAGCAAAGTTGCTGACATCCAGCTCGTCGCGGATCACCGGCTTAAAAGGGGCAGTGACTTTCTTAGCTGCCAAATCCTCCCAGTTTATTTTCTGCAACATTCAAACACAGATCAATCATCTTGTTGTTCTTTAACGATCCATATAACAAAATGCCTCAAGGTAATTTCAGAACTTAATAACTACCTACATACCTAATGATTATGATACAACACAAAACTATATAGAGGTCATATAATGAAAGAGACCATTTGGAGAAAACATGGCGATTCTTGTTTGAACTACATTTCCCAGAGACCCATGGGGAATGACCCACCATTCTCAGTCACCTGACCATTTGGTGGAAGACTGATACCCCCGGTAAATACTGGCTTCCCCATTGTTTGCCCAATCTGCCAACCAATCTGCAATCCATGCACTGCATCAGAAGGAGAAGGAAGTAAAAAAGCAACGAGAGACGTTTAAGATTAACTACAAGAAGATGGGGAAGTCTAGCTAGAGCTTGGAGAGAGCTAGGGATTTCTTTTATTTTGGAGTTTATTATTAACTCTGTATACTAAAAGTGCAACAAAAGTGCACTATTTCTTACCTTACTGCTGCATTCTGTGTACCTGTCTTCCTACAACACCAGCTGTGTCACAATATTAATTAACTGAACAATTTAGTATTCTTAGAGCACTGAAATTATTCTGAATGTTCATGAACTACAGTGCTCCTAGAGTGTGACCTTTGATCTAGTGGCAATAATGATCCATCCATTTTCTAAACCACTTTATCCAGGACAGGGTAACGGAGGATGTTGGGTGCAATGGATGCAAGGGTGGGATTGTGGAAATATTAAAAAAAAAAACTACATATACTCATGCTTGCTCCTCAACTGATTGTTTAAACAGATGTCAGAACATAGTGACAGTGTTTATATGAGAAGGCAGCAACAGTGTTGGAACACTGTCAAGGGCAGTACTTTACCTGGTAGAAAGGGTGCTTCTTCACCTCCTCTGCTCCTGACGGTCCTGAGCCCAGCCTCTTTTTGGGATCTTTGATGAGGAGACGCTGAATCAGATCTTTGGCTAAGGGTCCTATTTCTGAAGAAAATGGTGGCTCACTTCTTAATATTCTCCTGTAAGGCAAAACAACTAGGAATTATTCATACTACATATACCTTACTGTTGCATAGTATTTTCGATTGAAAAGGATCTCTGCAGATGAAGGAGTAGAAGGAGCAGACTCTCTTAATCCACAACAAAAGTAAAGCTGGTAACAGCCTGGGTTGGCACAAAGCTGCCATGCTGAGGGAATTCACCAATTAAATGACATGGGAGAATCAATAAGACCTTATAAAGAGAGCTTAAACTGGAATTTAACTGGGGCTCCAGAATGAGTTTCCATTCTGTTTTCAAACACTGCTATGACATCTTCAATGAAATTCTACTGACAGCTCTATTTAGCGTCTCACTCAAAAGCTAGTACCTCCCATAGATATGGGCTTGGAAGAGGGCAGTGATGGAAAGTCTGGCTGTAATATATAGTATGCACAATGCAGTACAGTGTGTTTACAAAAACCATGGTTTACACACTGCAAACCTCTTACTTCGATATCTCTGTCTGCGAGTTCTTCTCTCCGTCCACAGTGAAGGGGGATGCCCCGGTCATCAGCTCGTACATGAGGACACCGAGACTCCACCAGTCCACAGCCTGGACTCAGGCACGTCAAGACACGCAGATCAAACACAATGAAAACTCTACGTAGCTTTATCACAGTATTTTAAAAAACATTTTTAAACTAAATGTCTCTAAATGTGTGCAGTTTGTACAGGAGAGAGTACGTTTGTCATTTCTATAAATCAGGGGTGTCAAACTGATGCCTAGGGTCCTGCAATGGTTGCCTGGTGCCTGTGCCAACCAGAATTGTCAATTTATCAATTATTATAATTATTCACTTATTTGGACACGTATGGAACACTTCTCTGGATCTTTTACAGTTGGAAAAACATCTACTTCATTAAAAGTTAACTATTAAAAACTTTGGAATCAGGTTAGAGGATTACAATTATGCAGTTAAATGTTATATAACAGCTATATTTCAACACCTCTTTCAACAGGTTCTGTTCGCCCTGTACTCATAGCCAGATTATCCTTCCCCCAACTAAATGGGTTCACACGGAAACAACATTTCAGACAGCTAATTGAAATAATGTGGGGATAGTCTGAAGAGACAGCAAGCCGTTTGTGCACTCCTAAAACTCTTCGATCCTTCCCTTGGGGAAAAAAAGTTCCATGGCAAGGAAATTAAAAACACTGCAAAGCGAAATGATTTTCTCAACCTGAACACAGAAGAGCCCAGTGTGACTCTGCTGTGAATGGCATGCTTTTCATTTCTTCTCAAACAGAGCAGGTCTCCAGTGTTGGGAGAGGTGCTGTACCTTGTCATGGCCAGTGTCTCCTCCTCTGACAATCTCCGGGGCCATGTATTCAATAGTGCCACAGAAGGAGAAGGCCCTCTCGTTCTGGAAAACCAACATCAGCATAAGAAAACCCCTGACGTTATCTCTGCACATTTCCAAGTCACTATACCACCGGATAAAAGTATGGAAAAAAACTATACATATTCAATTAACCAATTTAATAAAAGCATTTGTATTCCGATCCAGAAGCATACAATTCTATTTGCACACAATCGCAGCAGATACAAAACTAAAGAAAACCTTTCATTATTTATGTTGCTAAAACAGAAAGCAATTTTGTGCTATTATATGATTGGCACACTTCCTTGGAAAAAGGGAAAATTCTTCAAAATATTTTTTTAGCTGCCCAGACAGACTCTTATATTAGTCTTCTTGAAGATTGATGTATTAGTTTCTTATTGAGGAAAAAAGTAAATCACTGAGAATCTTTAGGCAGACATTTTAATTGTTTTCTGATAAAAGACTACCTCATAGCATTATATGGTAACAAAATAGCTAATATGATCAAAGACACATCTTCTCCTGGCATTTTGTTAATATATTCAAATACACAATGCATCTATTTGTGTTTTTAGATCATCAAGTGTTCTGACTCTTGCAAAGTGATTTAGCTGTATACAATAAAATGTGCTTTTAGCAGTCTCTTATGAAACCTTTCACGAGCCCAGGCTAACATCCTGGCTTCTTTCAAGACACAGTTGGATGTGATCCCTGGATCAATCTTTAGCTGCTAACTACCAAACTGGCTAGATGGGCCTCCTCTCATTTGTAACTTTTCCTTGGTTACTATCTCTGCTTAGATATGTACTTTTCTGTCTTCATGTGACAAAACTGTTTAAAATATAAAAGTATCAACTGGCTTTCTATTTTGGGCAACATTCAATCCATTGCACTCACCTCATCCACCAGAAACTCTTTACTGAGACCGAAGTCTGTGAGAACAATGTGGCCATTGCTGTCCAGGAGAATATTTTCCAGCTTGATGTCTCGATAGATAATACCCAGCTGAAGAGGGCAGAAAGCGGATTTTCAGAGTCGTTTTCAGAACAAATTACCAGGTCAAATTTTTCATTGCCAAGTAGTATAAATCCTTGGATTGGAGTTGGATGAATGAAAGGATTAGTAGAAACGTTGGATGTCCTTGACACCTACCTATTTACAGGGTAGCAAATTGTGAATGTTTAGTACTATGCATTAGGGAAAATGAATATAAGCAAAGTCAATTCTGGCTTACGCATCTTTAACAGCTAAGTGCAATGCCTCAGATTCAATGCATGTCTGCACTATGCACTTTTGGCATGGTCTATCATGGGTTTTATTCACTACTATATATTTATTGTTTTCGCTGTATTATTTATTATGTCATAGTGTACTGTCTACATTGTGTGGTGTTGTCTGTTGTGTCATCTGCTGTACTGTGTATATCCTGAGAGATCAGCATGATCAGCAAGATTCCAGGAAATTAGGATGCATGTGGAAACAAAAAAACATTTTATTGGGGAAGACCTATCATATATGATCAGGGCAAAGCAGAACAGAGAAGTACTTCCAGAGTAGAAATTCTCCACTTAAGTAGGAAAGTTATTTTAGAAAACACCAGCTTCAGATTACTTGACAAAAGTATGGCATCTGCTGTTGATATCTGAATGCATAGTTTAAGGGAACTATTGGTAAAAAGTATAGTTCATCCTATTTTTTAAATACAAGTATTTAATATCCTATATCCTATGAGCACTGAATAAAAAAGAATACAAATAACAAGCCATTCAGCCCATGAGGCTCATATGATTGCTTGTAGTCAACTGACTACAGATTCTTGCCTAGTGTTCCTTGTAAGTAAAAATGTAAAGCTCACAAACAAGAGAAGGTGGTTCAGTCTCACAAAATAATATACCCGAACTAGCATATACGTCACTAAAAATACAGTAGAATTACAGTAGAGGACAGAGCTCATCTGACAAAGAAATCACCAAAACAGAACAAACGACTTTAATGACCTAAAAAGCGGCAGATTTTATAGCTGATGAATCTCTTGGAATCTCGAAAACAAACCCATTTCTAAGTAAGTGGGGTACGTGAACTCATAACTAATCAGGGGACTGCAGCAGATCAAGAGCAGTTGATCACTTTCGTGCCTTTACACCAGAACAGGAAAGAATCCACTCCATTACTAATGCAGTGAACCGCAGAGCCCAGGCGCGCCAAAGTTCTAGTGAAGGCTAGGTGCTCTTACCTTATGGAGATGCTCCAGTGCCAGCACTATCTCTCCACTATACAGGGCCACTTCATGCTCTTTGAATCGTTCTCTTTGGGACAGGTGTGTGAAGAGTTCTCCCCCGTTCACGTAGTCTGCAAGGCAACATTAACAACTCAACCTCCCTCTTTCATATGTGGCTCTGAAAACCCACCTACAACAAAAACATTTTCCTAGTCCACTTGTGTGCATTTTTTTTTTTCATTTCATTGGTCAAAGGACAACTGCTTCTAACACGCCCTTACAGAGATTAAAAGGAGTGTCTTGAACCTACAACACAATGTCAATGAGACCCCAGCAGGTTGATGGCAACCCAGGTCACACTTTCCTAGCACAGACACTTTCTGTTTTAATCAGCGGTGTCTAGTGAGAGTTCAGGGAGTTAACAACCCAGCAGGTTGATGTTCATTGGATGTTTCATTTCAATCTATGCTTCGCAAAGAAAATTAACATAATGCAAGGGTTCTGATCAACTGAGCAAGTCATTTGTTCAGGATTGGTCCATTCTGCACCAACCATTCAAAGTGAGATCCAAGCTATTTAATCTAAAGCAGCATCTGTTCAAAATATCAAAATGAAAATAATGTTACATTTTTATTTTTACCTCTCTGTTGGTTACTTATTTCTCAGTAAGACATGAACTGTCCACCCTAACATAGCTGATGATGGAAGATTTTAGAGGATACAGAATTTAATATAAAAGCTTATTTTTGAAAGCAATAAGTCCTGCAGTGCTGAAATTATACAGAGGTCAGCAATTAGGAAGATAACTGTTAAAACTAGTTAGGATGGAGAAACTGTACATTATATCTAAGAAACAAAAATGAAAAGCTCCTGCAAGTGGCATGAATTTATGATTTTATGACAGCATGTGATATATGGTGTGTAGGGAGTTAGACATGGGGTGCAGTTTTTAGGAATGGAATGCTAAAACAAAAAGTGTTCTGACATGACAAAAGATACAGGGTGCATACCTCAATTTAATGTTGTATATACATTCAGGAAATCAATCCATAAAAGAGCACTATAAATTCCTACAATACATTCCTGAGCATAACTGTTAAGTCTCCATGTAGATCTCTCATAACTGGACATAGGAAGAGGAATGAGGAACACTAGCATGTGGAGATCTACCTGAACTTTAGATCTGAATTTCTATTGTTACCATTGCTAAATGCAAGACGATTAAAAGAAAAAAACTGTTAGAGACTGGTCAGGCAATGCTCAGGCAAAATGAAAAGAGCACTGCTGTTCTGAGAGAAATTAGGCAGTTTTACTAAAGGGAACTGAAGTTAAAAAACTAGAAGTTTTCATTTAATCTTGGCTTCAGATCAGTCATTGCTCCAGTTAATTCAAACCAGAGAAAGGGGATGACGTGCTGCAGTTACAAACAAGAAGCTCTTTTCACTTAAAAACATTATGTGAGTAGAAGTCTCATCTGTGTGATTCCTATCTGGTTCTTGTGTCGCATATAGTAAGAGCTGATATTTCACTCTGTCTCTGCAGGGAGGACCATTCTGATTCTCTCTGTTGTTGCCACTCAAGCCACTTGGTCTCGTTTTTTAGATTTGCAGCCACCCGTCACATGACACTACAACACCCTAAACTTCATTATTATACACTGTTCAACTGGAGACGATCTGAAAGAACTAAAAACCAAATCCCTTGCATTAATGCTTACGAGAGAAAATGACATGCAGAAATAGAGTGTCAAACACAAAAAATTGGATTTTCCCCCAGGTATAAGGGACACGATATGGCATGGTGGGGTTGTATTTAGCTCCAGTGCCTCAGCGAAGCTGTCCCATCCAGAGCGTAGTCCTAGCTTGTGCACTATTAGCACAAACCGACCGTCATTGAGAACAAGGGGCATTCTAGCGATGGACAGGTGGATGGATAAAAGACAGCAGCCCAGCTGGGGGTCAGACAGGCCAGCGTGTCGGAGCAGAGCTGTACCCAGGATGAGGTGCAGCTTGGTGTCCGTCTGGAAGGCGTAGTGGAGGGTGACCAGGAACGGTGATTGCCGGATGTGCTCCAACACCTGCCGCTCTGTCCGCGTGTGCTCTGCGGTCTTGGCCTTCTGGATGATCGTGGCCTTCTTCAGGACTTTCATGGCGTACAGCTTGCACGCGTCATGGCCGCTGACCTTCCTCACGAGGAACACCTTCCCGTAGGCTGGAGGAGAAACAAGGAAAAGAGGGGTTACAGATTATAATACAACAGTGCCAATACCAGCGCTATCGTTCAGAAGAATAAGGAGTGCAAAAGAATGAGGCACTGGAAAAAATCACATCGACAAGCTATACTATCTCTGATTTCCAGTCATGACTCTACAGTACTGTCACTGATCACAGCAACCTAATTGTTGAGATCTTAAACCCAGAGCAGTGCAGATCTTACCCTAAAGATCGATCATTGTGAACAAACAGTACCTGTTAGGAGAGAACAGCCTGGGTGATGAAGCAATACCATCAGAATTGACTGCAATTCATTAAAAAGAGACCACTATCCAGTAGCAATGTGGGAGACTGAATCCACAAACTGTGCTCTCACCATGGGTTCCACGATCAGAAATATTAATTGGTCAAAGAACCTCTGTCAAAGGTAGATGACAACAAGGCTGTTTTGTGAACACAAAAAAGGATGGGAAACCCTGATTCTGCAATGGGAACAATGGTTTTAAACCAAGCCAATTGAAAACATTCTAACTTCACACATTAATGCACAGCATCCAAGGAAAAAATTAACAGAATATAAGCAGCAACTGTTAACTTGTCTCTTCATCTCTTCCCAGAAAGCCAGCAAATGCAATATGAAGTAAGTGACTCAAACTACACAGTATCTCCTCAAATAAATATCTTTAAATCCAAAAAACATGCAAAGGATCAAACCATTGACCAGGAGAAACAAGTTTCTTTATGTGTACTACATTTATTAATCTATTAAAAAAACCTCAGAGTAGTGAAAACTACTGATTTCACGACTGCCAACAATAGCAAGGGGACGTTGAAAAGAGTACAAATACAGGAATATGTATATGCTTAACAGGAAGAGGCTTGGAGTGTAATTTCACATCTAGTTAAGACTTCCTCTTTCAAGAAAAGGGAAATAAAATTTGGCAATGCCTTGGCTGAGAGATGAGTGTTAAATGAGGCCTTCTGTTTATTTTCTGTAATCCGGTTACACTCCAAGAGATGCCACTAAGGGCCACTTCCCTGTGGAACAGCCTGGAAGGGGGAGCTGAACAACGAGTCGCAATGCTGTTTCCCGTCTCCTTTCCCTGCCCGTTATATCAGGAGGGATCCACACCTGATCTAAAACTAATAATACTACTTATACCAATTTGCAAACAAAAACTGGACTTCGCATCAGATTAAATTAAAATTTAATCCCACAAACCAGTCACAAAGTAGCAGTGCCTTTTCTGCTTTCCAGAGGTTAGCAGCATTTTAAGTCGCAGCTTCCCAGTTGATTTGAAACCCATCCAGCACCATCCAGAATGGTGAGCGGGGCAAAACTTTGATTTGACTGGGGCTGTGTGTGGCAAAATCTTGCAAAAAATGTTCCTGCTTTACAAGAATATGAAATAATTACAAAAAACAATAAGAGGAAGTAAGCCTATTATCAGATGTAGCTAGAAATGCTGCTTAAATGCAATTCATCTCATGTCTTCCATTTTTCCTTTTTCTATGTTGTAACATCAATGGTGGAGCTGCATCAAATGGGCCAGATGAGGACCGCAGCTCCCACAATCCCCCTATAACAGCCGACACCACTCCAAGGAGTGAAGGGCAGCAGGGGATTACAATACAGGAAGGGAATTATATGAAGGAATAGTCCTGTGGTTTGGCCTCCTTGTTGGAGAAGAGCCATGACAGCCAGGGTGTGCTGGTAAAAGAACAACACTGGAGAAAGGACTCTGTTTTGTTGTTGTTCGTTTTGTGTATAGCAATAGCATTTATTTGTAAAGTCTAGCTGCACAGCTGCTAGTGAGGGAACCTGAAGAGTTCAGCCAGAGCCCCAGACACCAGGGAAACTTTAGAATACCACACAAAATAAATAGATTACACTGTGCTGGTGAACACAATTTTATTGGAATACATTTCATTTAAAATAGAAGCAACTTGGGACTTGAGCAGGACAGATGTTAATGCTGTAGCAGTGAACGAATGAAATCTTTTTCCGATATTCTTCTGTCTACTTTGCCTTGGCTGAAGATGGATCTCAGTTTTTGCAAGACCACATACCAGGTTTAATCACATTAATGCAACATCACGCATATCCCTCAGCTAAGACGAAAAATCTCCCGTTCTTATTAAGCCATGACTGACGCACATAAGGTACTGCTCTTCTTCCTCCACTGTTGCGCTACTTTTCTAAACTTCACAGTTGGATCCAAGGGTTGCCCGAGTTTAGGGATCATCATGGTGAGAGCCTTTGTTTTGAAATCCAAGCCGATCGAAACATGAAACATGACAATTAAAAATGAGAACTTCACACCTGAGAATTTTTAAGAACCAGAAGAACTGTCCTCAAACAGCAGCCTCTCCAATTCAGCCATGATCAGACAACATTTTTGAACCTCATTACGACATTGTAGGTTATAAAGCTGACTGACTTGTATATGATGTACAGTACAGAGACAAGTTATCCATCTCCCATCTCAACTCATCTCTCAACTCAGACATGATTAATTGTTCCCCACCATTTCTGCCAATTACTGGGCACAATTTCCTCAATTCTCCTGGGGCAACGATTCCATCAGATGCTGGATTTGTAACAAATCCTGTTTCAGGTACATTATTTCCATTTTGTGGGTTTTCCACCGACATCGTCTTCATTCAGTGTAAGTCCTTTACCCAACCAGCTCTCCAAGTTGGAGGATCTGCGTTTGCCTTGGTTCTTGCAGGGGAAAACAGCTCCGACTTTCCCACTGTGAGCTTATGATGATACATACCATAACTCAGTTTTATTGTTTTTAAATGTAATTTTACTACAAGCCGCATCTAGATGATCATCTTTGGTTAAACCCCCAATTCCACTGAGAAAGGACGTGTTAAATCAGAGAATAAATAAGATTCTGTGAGCAGAAAGTAGCAGCAAACTGGCCACGTAGCCTATTTTATCAAGTCATTACAACGACCTTAGACCACAGAGAGTCAGGACCTCGGTTTTACGTCTCATCCAAAGGACAGCGCCTGTTTACAGTATACTGGGGCATTAGGACCCACATGGACCACAGGGTGAACGCCCCCTGCTGGCCCCACTAACACCTCTTCCA